TAGCATGTGTTCAGAGTTCATTTGTGTTGTAGTGTGTATCAGTACTTCATTCCTTTTTTTTTTTTTTCATTTATTTATCTTTGGGTGCGTTGGGTCTTCATTGCTGCACGTGAGCTTTCTCTAGTTTCGGCGAGTGGAGGCTACTCTTCCTTGTCGTGCACGGGCTTCTCATTGCGGTGGCTTCTCTTGGTGCAGAGCACGGGCTCTAGGCTCACAGGCTACAGTAGTTGTGGCTCACGGGCTCTGTTGCTCAGCAGCGTATGGGATCTTCCCGGACCAGGGATCGAACCCGTGTTCCCTGCATTGGCAGGCAGATTCTTAACCACTGCGCCACCAGGGAAGCCCTCATTCCTTTTTATTGACAAATTACATTCCACTATGTGGAAATACCATATTTTATTTACCCATTCATAGATTGATGGGCATTTGTATTGTTTCCACTTTGGGGACCATTACAAGTAATTCTGCTAAAGCATTTGTCTACAAGTTTTTCTGTGGACGTATGTTCTTATTTCTCTTGTGTAAACACCTAGGAGCATGACTGCTGACTCATAGCATAACTCTTAACATTTTGGGGAAATGAAAACTTTTCCAAAGCACCTCCACCATTTTATATTCCACCGAAAACGTATGAGTGCTTTAATTTTCTGTACCCTTAAACCTTCTCCATGCACACTTGACTTAATAATATGTAACCTTAATCAGTTTACCTACATTTTTAGAAAACAATGCAAGAGTCTTAAAATAGACTGACTTCAGAAAATTACCTCCTCCTTTCTTACATGTTATGATTGGGTCATATTTTGCTTCCACCTTGATTGCAGAACTCCCAGAAACAGAACTTACTGTTTTTACAAGAGTCAAAGTATATTTATTTCAATTCTAGTCACGTATTTGCAGTATCTTTGATCACCATTTTTTTTTTTCCTTTCATTCCTATTCTTTCTCCTGGAATCAATTGCTTTCCCTTTGGTAGTTCTTTCAGCAAAGGTCTATGAGTTGTAGAACATCTTCTGTCTGTCTTTCCTTCTTTCCTGCCTTGTCTTTCTTTTCTTTTCTCTTTTTTGGTCTAAAAATGTCTTTACTCATTTGAAACAATATATAGGGAAACACAGAATTGTGAGATCAGAGCTGAGTTACCCTCAGACTCTCTGCAGGATCCTTTGGGCACGAGGAGCCCAGTCACTTACCCAGGCAGCCGCCAGTCACACGGGTCCCTCCCAATCCTTGTCACCTGTGGCTCCCCTGTCTCTCCCGGCTTTTCCCATCTGTTAACAGCTGGTGCTCACTGGATTCTCAAACCTGCTCTCAGGGGCTTCCCTGGTGGTGCAGTGGTTGAGAATCTGCCTGCCAATGCAGGGCACACAGGTTCAAGCCCTGGTCTGGGAGGATCCCACATGCCGCAGAGCAACTAGGCCCGTGAGCCACAATTACTGAGCCTGCGCGTCTGGAGCCTGTGCTCCGCAACAAGAGAGGCCACGATAGTGAGAGGCCCGCGCACCGCGATGAAGAGTGGCCCCCGCTTGCCACAACTAGAGAAAGCCCTCACACAGAAACGAAGACCCAACACAACCATAAATAAATAAATAAATAAAGCAAACTGTCAACAAGTAAAAATAAATAAACACTAAAAAAACAAACAAACAAAAAAACCTGCTCTCAGTCTTCCCATCTCACTGTCCAGGTGGCCCAGGGCTATTTCTCTCCAGGGTCCTTCTGTGTGGTCACATCTCAGGTCAGGTCTTGCCAGGGGATGGGCTCGGATATTCATTCCCACAGGGCAGTCCAGCACTTCTGGGGTTTTATGAACTTTCCTAACAGAATTCTGTATATTCTCTGGCATGTATCTCCCAGCAAAACTTTAGGTCTTTTCCCCGGGAGAGTACTAGTTATCAGGCTCACCAACAAGACTGCATAATTTTTGAGAAAAAAGACACATTTACCATAATCTTTTCTAAGCTTAAAATTAGCACCCTAGTCAGTGCTTTATTTAAACAATGATATCAAGGTTCTGAGGACGAGGAGTTGGAGAATGGCAATGCCTAAAATATTCTCTAAAAACACTTTCTCATAGAAAATGATGCTTCTGTTTGGCACCCGTAACCATAACTCAATCTGTTAGGCAAACATAATTTAAAGGTTTGAGGTTTTTTTTCTTTTTCTAAGAGAATTTAAACTTAAAAAGAACTATTTTAGAGCCAAGTGATTAAACTGAAAAGCAGACTCCCACCCAAAAAAACTGTGGTTACTTAAATCTTAATAATTAACAAGTCATTGAAGGTCCCATTTCTTGATGCTTATCCTCAAATTCTGTTAAAAAAAAAATACAGTCAAGTTTATCTATTTTCCCAGATGTTTCTGTTAAAAAAAAAAACTGGTATGCTTTATGGTCATTTGAAAAATATTAATAGAAGACTTAGGCATCTGCTTTGTTAGAGATTTGGGTTTGCTCTCACGGGGAGACCCCTCTTGAGGGGGAGGATGTGGGAAGGGTGCAGGCCATGGCTTGCTTTCAGAAGGCTGTGAGGATGCCCTCCAGCTGAGAACAGGCCCCAGCATCCCCCATCTCTCTCTTCTGTCCCTGCTGGACCGTCACTCGGATGCCAGCACGTCCCTGCTTCCCTGCTTCTGTCTCAGAGGCAGCTTCTTCTGGCAACAAGCAGGAGCTTTGGAACCACTGTCTTCTGTGCTCACCTCCCGGGCGCCCTGCCCAGGGTCAACGCCACCCACCACACACGCGCGGCATAGCCGGCTGCTGCGGGGCCAGCAGACTGGTCCACACAACCACTGGGGGGAGCAGGGTGGGGCAAACCCTTCCATCCCCGCAGGTCACTGTAGGTGAGTCCTGGCTGTGTAACAAGCAAACCTCTCCCAGCCGCAAAGGGCTAAAGCACAGGCATTGCATTTCTGATTGTGCTGTACCTATGAGAGGCAGGCCACACCTTCCACCTCACTGGCCTCCTCAAGACCCGAGACCTGAGGCCCAGGCAGCTCTGTGACCCCAGGAGCCTCCTTCCAGCCTCCCAGCATACACTTTCTTCTCATTCTCTTGTGAGACACCACAGGGACCAGAGTCTCCAGGGGTCGGAATTCCCTTCACTGACTCTGGGAATCTTGGGCACTGCTGTCCAGGAAGGTCCAGGTCCCATGGCCAAAAGTTGGGAGTCACCTGATAAGATCTCCTTTTTCATATTCTCAGTGTGGTGGGCTGCCACCATGCTGCTTCCTTTAACTGGTGAGCCTGTTAACCCAGGACCAGCTACAGATCTTGTGGGGCCCAATGTAAAATTAAAATGGAGGGCCTTTGTTCAAGAATCATAAAGAATCTCAAGACAGCAACAGCAGAGAGAGCATTGGCCAGGTGCAGGGGCAGCACTGGGTTAACCGTACACCGTCTCCTGAGACAGATGGCCCAAAGCCATGGGAATGGAAATACGTCCTGGGTTGGGAAGATACATTTTCCTGGAGTCAAGATGCCTCATCATTGTAAGGCATTTGATACCTTTATGGCTCTACCTGTGGAATTGTTCTATAATAATAGTGGCTGAAGAATGGCAAAACTGTTGTTGAACCCAAGTTCTTATGCCCCTCACACAGTGAGGACAAACAAACCGAAACCTCAGAGTTTGGAGCAGAGAAAAGTTTTATTGCAAGGGTCAAGCAAGGAGTATAGGCAGCTCATGCTGTAAGGACCCAAACTCCCTGATGGTTTTCAGGGAAGAGTTTTTAATGTAAATTTTAGGCGGAGGGCTGCAGGATGCATGCTTTCTTCTGATTGGTGGTGAGGTAACAGGGTGATGTTTCAGGAATCTTGCGTTCAGCCTGAAGTTACCACCCTCCACCGGGTGGGGGCCTTAGTTCCCGTAGAAGAACTCAGAGACCTGTATCAGATTAATATGTATATCCACTGGGGAGGAACTAGGATTCTGCTTTATTGCTGCATTATTGTTTCTTGACTGCTTTTCCTTTGTTTCAGCATTCCCTCACTTTCCTAATAAGTAACCTTTGGAACTCAGGGAAGGCCTACAAACAAGAAATGCGGGACATGGAAAGGCTTTTGTACCTGGGAGGGCCCCACAGAGTCCTGCTCAGTTTCAAAACCAGGAAGCCATAGGTCATGTAAACACAGTAGTTTTATTTTACTGGGTTCACACAGCATTTTAAAAGCGTACAATTTCATCTGAAAATCTACATTTTCAGCTCCTTCTGAAACATCAAAAGTAAGGACCTTGAACCAGCTTGGAGAGCACTGCCCCTTGCATAGCTCTGACCACTCTCAAAGTAACCTGTGCTCCCAGGGCCCAGCAGTTTCCATCCTCTCTACCCAGCTGGCTCAGCCCGTTTGCACCTTCACAAGAAATTACCGTAGACGGTGCAGCTTATGAACAGCAAGTATCTCTCACAGTTCTGGAGGCTGGAAGTCCAAGATTAAGGTGCCAGCAGATTGGGTGTCTGGTGAGGGCTCCTCCTGGTTCCTAGAAGGCATCTTCTCCCTGTGTCCCCACGTGGAGAAAGGGGCAAGGGAGCTCTCTGGAATCTCTTCTATAAGGACACTGATCCCATCGTGGGGGCTCCACCCTCATGACCTCATCACCTCCCAAAGGCCCCACCTCCTGACACCATCCCCTTGGGGGTTAGGACTCAACACAGGAATCTGGCGGGGCACACAGACATTCAGTCCATAGCACCTCCTTAGTCATCCATGCTTTCTTCCTGCCCTCTGGAGGCCATGATGCCTCTCCTGCTTCAACGGCTCTGCCCTGAAACAGGAAGATGAGCTGTCTCATCAGGGGGATGCCTGTTTCCAGTCAACACTACCCTCCCCAGTCCCTCCCCAATCCTTGGAAAGCAGGCACAGCTTAAGGCTCCTTGGAAAATTTGGGCAAAGTAGGAAAGTATATTTCCTAGTTACTGGGTAAAAGTTTGAGATAGAAGAAGAGTGATATTCACCCAAAATATAATCAGGACTACTTTTCTTTCTCCCTTTTCCCTCCCCTCAGTCCCTGCTGCAAGGATCATATCCATCTGATCCTCAACTGCACCTTCTCTCTCACTGGAGCAGGGGCGTGGAGCCCTGAACTGGGGAGCTGAGTCCACGTCCCCACCTTTGTCTGCCTTTGCAAAGTGTCGGAGAGGAAGGCGTTTTCCTCTGCCTTCCGGGTTCTTCTGGCTGGTCTAAGAATTGCACTGACATGAGACAGATGAACAGGAGAAAAGCAAACAAAAGTTTAATAACACATATACATGGGAGTGATCCAGGAAAACTGAGTAAATCACCAAAATGCATGAAGCCCTCACCTTACCTACCACCTTCTGCTAAAGACAGAAGAGGATGCTGAGGGTGGGGAGAGTCAGTTTTGGGAGGCGACTGGGTGAGGTTCTTATGCAGATTGAAGTCCTGCCTTCTCCAGTGATGAGAGTTTCTAGAGGCTTGGACATCCTCTTCTTCCTGCTGCGGAGGGGGAGATATCCTTACAAACAGAGCCTTCCCTTCTAAATGCAAATGTTTCTTACAAAAGAGTAATTCCTGCTTGGTTTTCAGAGTTTTTCCCATGTATGCTGTTTCTTAGAAAATAGGCAGCTTAAAATAATTAATATGCCCAAGAGACACACTTTCAGGTGGCAAAATTGGCTCCCCTACAAAAGCCTCCCAGAGACGCAGTGCAGCTCACACCCCTCATTTGTCCAGTCGGACACTTAGCTTAATTGAGTGCAAGTCGAATTATTAGTTCACAGCTACAAAACCCTCCATCCCCACCACTGTAGTTGGCCTCATTAGGGGGGATAATCTGTCTTAAAAGAGATTTGTTTTAAAACTCCTAAGACTCAAGTTGCTCCTGTCTAGTGAGGGCATAATTTAATATGACCACCAGAATGCACATGTCCGATTCTAGGGGACCTATTGGTATTGGTTTTATCAGTTGGAAGACATTGGTGTTCAACTGAATAATGACATCTTCAGGAAAAGCGGGCCCTGCTTATTTTTATGAAATATTATCTACTGGGAGCAAGTGCTGGTCTCACAAACAGTTTCTGTCCAAGCTCCTCAAGAACAGGATGTGATCAGCAAAGTGAATGATTTTCTCTTTAACACAGAGTAATCTGTCTGCTCTCGTGTAAACAGCATTCAATTTTTCTTGGCATAATGGCTTCCTCTGTAGATGAAATGAGCCTTTTGTACTTGAGAAAAATGTGTATAATTTTGGCCATTGGCTGAGATAACTTAACAGCTTTCTGAAGTCAGGTATTTTTAGAGCGCATGTAAAACAGCGACTGGTAATTAATAGAATATCGACTGGTTCAGCCTCGTCTAATCATAGACTGCATATAAATCATAAGGTGTTTTGCAATTAGGAAAATCCATATTAAATAACAAAGTACTGTTATCTCAGTAAACTTAACAAGTGTGGACTAATGCAGTATGGAATAATTGCTGCAATACAGATGTACCTGTATAGAACAGGTCTCCATTTATCGCACGTAAAACAGACTTCTTGTTTTTGTGGACACGGCTGTACTGACTAAAGGTCACTGGTGAAATACTTCGCCAATATCCCCAAAATGCTTGTTTCTCCTCCAGGGATTTTCCATACTGTCTGTCTATCCCAAACACCAGCAGAGCCTTCTCTTTGCATCTCTACACGGGTAGTGATTAAAGGCTCCTTGATTTCAGCAGTGCCAACCAGGATCACAGCATTTATGGAGCTTTCAGCATCCCCATTACAAATGTCTCATAAGTGATCAGCTGTAAAGCATATTTGAACCAGCTGAGGACAACATCAGCATAAAAAGATCTCAAAAGATCTTGGCCTGAGAGAGGATATTCTTTTTATGATGAGATTTTCCCATTTATTTTTAAAATATATAGAACACTTTTATTTACATTTGCCATCTATTTCATAGAAAAAAATATAGAAGAGTATTGTGTTACTCTTTTCACTTGGGCATATATCGCTTCTAAAAAAATAAGACACTGGAAACAATTTTTATATTGGATGGCTACTTAGTTATTAGAGTTTTTTCATTCCATGACATGCTCCCATTTGTATCTATGGAGAGTTAAAAGGCTATGAACTTACTCTCATTATTTGGTTGAATGGTGCCTTTAAAATGTTTATTTTAGAGCAGGAAGGGATCTTCAGGTCATTTAATCTAATAGTCATTTGTGAGATGAGGGAAGTAAGGAGGAGATAAGTAAATGAAGGGGTTCAGGACCTGCCAACCCCAAATGTGCCACTTTGTTGTGTAACCGAAAGTGGGTTCTGGCTGCTCACCGCTCAAAAGCCAATAAAGAGGCAAGGTTCGTGGAAGCAAAAGTGTTTTTTATTTTGGGTGCTGGCAACCGATGCTTTGCAAAGGCAGACAAAGGTGGGGACGTGGACTCAGCTCCCCAGTTCAGGGCTCCACGCCCCCGCTCCAGTGAGAGAGAAGGTGCAGTTGAGGATCAGATGGATATGATCCTTGCAGCAGGGACTGAGGGGAGGGAAAAGGGAGAAAGAAAAATAGCCCTGATTATATTTTGGGTGAATATCACTCTTCTTCTATCTCAAACTTTTACCCAGTAACTAGGAAATATACTTTCCTACTTTGCCCAAATTTTCCAAGGAGCCTTAAGCTGTGCCTGCTTTCCAAGGATTGGGGAGGGACTGGGGAGGGTAGTGTTGACTGGAAACAGGCATCCCCCTGATGAGACAGCTCATCTTCCTGTTTCAGGGCAGAGCCGTTGAAGCAGGAGAGGCATCATGGCCTCCAGAGGGCAGGAAGAAAGCATGGATGACTAAGGAGGTGCTATGGACTGAATGTCTGTGTGCCCCGCCAGATTCCTGTGTTGAGTCCTAACCCCCAAGGGGATGGTGTCAGGAGGTGGGGCCTTTGGGAGGTGATGAGGTCATGAGGGTGGAGCCCCCACGATGGGATCAGTGTCCTTATAGAAGAGATTCCAGAGAGCTCCCTTGCCCCTTCCTCCACGTGGGGACACAGGGAGAAGATGCCTTCTAAGAACCAGGAGGAGCCCTCACCAGACACCCAATCTGCCGGCACCTTAATCTTGGACTTCCAGCCTCCAGAACTGTGAGAGATACTTGCTGTTCATAAGCTGCACTGTCTACGGTAATTTCTTGTGAAGGTGCAAACGGGCTGAGCCAGCTGGGCAGAGAGGATGGAAACTGCTGGGCCCTGGGAGCACAGGCTACTTGGAGAGTGGTCAGAGCTACTGCAGGGCCAGTCAGCTCTGACAGTCATCTTGATGTTGGTCATGCAGTGGTCTGATCAGCGTCATCCTGATTGTTTTAAGTGTAGTTCATCTTCAGTTCCAGGGTCAGTTTGTTCCCATTTTTCTTGAAGCCAATTCTCAGAATTGTGGCAGCTTATGTCACGGCTACAATCTGGTCATCATGTAGTTAACTGCTTCCACCTGGTGGGGGTTACAGTATCTATAAGACAGCTCACAGGATATGGCTCAGAACATTATCTATAGCCCTTGAGAAGGAACTAAAGGTCCTTGACTTTGCTTACTGACTAAACTATTATTGTTTTGTCCTGTTTGACTGCTTTTCTCTGCTTCTGCATTTTCTCACTTCTTGATTAAACTTATTCTTTGGCTAAAGTTTTTCCACAGGTAAAAGGCTGGCAGAGGACATGGCTGGGGCGGGGGTGGGGACCATAGGGTCCTGTTCCATTTCAGATGTACTGATTACTTTGAGCTGAAGGCATTTGAAGGGCAGCAGATGCAGGGGGAGCTTCCCCTCAACCCCCTCAACTGCCTGAACACAGAGCCTCCACAGGAACTCGGGGTCTTAGGTCCCCTCCTGGGAGCTTCACCACCAGGAAGACTGACTCTTGTCCCAGGAGAGGAGCCTAGAAGTGGAACCCACCCCCAGACAGACAGTCACCAACTGCCACCCTCCCATTCATCCTCTAAGGGCCACTCATCTTCCCTGGAAAACATGTACTATCCCCAGAGAGGCACCCCCTCCCCTTCCCCTGTTAAGATGGTATATAAGCTCTCAAATTTTACCACCATTTGGATATTTACTTGTTTTTTCCTGTGATGCCCCTAAGCACATAATACTAAAAACGAATAACTGCATATAACATTTCTCCTGTTAATTACCTGTTGTCAGTTTATTTCATAGACACATAGGAGGGTAGAGGGAACTCTTTCCCCCCCACCTACAAAACTTCCCAAGGTCATGGGCGTCAAGTTTCAGTTTCATGAGAGCTGAAACTCAAATGCAGGACCCAGGATCTAAACCCAACACATGGCCGCTCCCCACCAAGTGTAACCCTTGGCACCAGGCACAAGGTTACACAGCCAAAGTGAGACCTCAGATCTAAGCTTCCGTCACCCTTTCCACCGCTCTGTGCCTGGTGCTGTCCTTCTGACTCAGGTGATGTTACCCAGACCCATGCAGGTGTACGTGACTCCTAAAGGTACAGGGCAGCCTTGGTGACTGATCACCACTGTGGTCTCCATCACCCATATCACTCGTGCGCTCAGTGCTATGTGCACACTTGTCCTGGTGGCATCCCTGTGAGGTGAGTGCCCCAGACAGGAGAATGGAGCCCGAGTAACCGTGGCTTGTCCCTCTAGCCCGTGCCTGGACCAGGCCATGAGGCCTCTGGCCCACGGCTCCACCCCTGATGGCTGCACCAACCCAGGCCAGCAGCAGCCATGTCAATATTTAAATAAGCAAAAAATACAATATTAAAACCTGTCTGTATATATCAGATGGAAGCATTTTGTTTGGAATAGCATGCATTTTCTTCAGTAGTTCAATAGTTGTTTCTTTTCATTAAATGACAGTTCCCGCCTTTGATACTAGGGCCAGTGTGGAAACATGAAGCACCCAAATTGTTCCTTTATTCAAGACATAAATATATATTTTTTCAACTTTAACATAGAATATAGTAACTGACTTAAGCCTGTCTATTGAAAAATTCCATGAACCAATTGAAGCTAAAGAGAACTATTGAAATGTACAGGGTCAGTGATGAGAACTTTTTGGATGAGCGTTTCCAACAGGCCAATAAAATACACACTAAGTATGTGTCTTCATTATGTCTCAATATTCATAGAAATAGATTTTATTGGAAAATGTGGTCACATCTGTTTTCTGCTAAGTAAAAATCTGTGTGAATTTAAGGACCTGATAGAAAACAAATAAATGTATAAAAACAGTTTAAATGATCTAAATCACTTTTAGTGTGGAGGGTTTATAGAAAAAAAATACATATAAAAATATACTTTTTTATGTGCACTCTGGCACTGTCCATTTTATTTTTTAAAGAGGAAGATTAAGCAAAAACTTTATTCTCAATTTATAAAGATTAAGAATTAGCAGGTTGATCTGTGAATAATGGTTAATAAACCATTTATCTTAGTCTGTTCAGGCTGCAACAAAACACCACAGACGGGAGCTTAAACAACAGATATTTATTCCTCACAGTTCTGGAGGCTGCAGTATTCTGAGATCAAGGCACTGACACTGTCTGGTGAGGCCCCCTCCTGGTCCATACATGGCATCTTCTCCTGTGTTCTCACCTGGTGGAGGGAGAGGGAGCTCTGGTCTCTTCCTCTTCTTATAAGTGTACTAATACCATCTAGGGGCCCCACCCTCATGACCGTATCTAAACCTCATCACCTCCCAAAGACCCCACCTCCAAACATCATCCCACTGGGGGGTCAGTTCTTCAACATGTGGATTTTGGGGGGACACAAACATTCAGTCCATGGCTCCAGTCAACATTTCAAAGGGCCGATACCCCCTGATGAACAGCTTTCACATTTCCACCTGCTCTCATTTCTAACCCCAAACCTCTGCTCTCTAGCCCCTCAGAAGTTTTGCTTTTTCTTTCTTTTTTTTTTTATGCTCTTTCTTCAGGAAAAGCTGTCCTGCCTGCACTCTCACTCTCCACACACTTCTGTCTCCTGAGGATGTTTACTTTCCCTCTCCCACCTCTCAGATTTCTGCTCCTTTTTCCACCAGCCATTGCTCCCCACCTGATAAGACCATTTAGCACATTTTGTGTTTGTTGATTAAAGTGTGTTCCCCAATCCTGAAGTTAAGAAGAGCTGAGTTAAAAGTTTCATATTCTTCCCAGACACTTTTGTTCTCAAAGTGTGCTCCCTGGACCAGCCTCACATGAGAACTTACTAGAAACGCACATTCTCAGGCCCCACCCAGGCCTGCATCAGATACTGTGAACTGGAGCCCAGGAGCTATATTTCAACAACCCCTCCAGGTGGTTCTAATGCTGTTGCATGTTCGAGAAGCATTGATGAAAGAAAAAAATTGATTTTGAGGAACTTGAGTTTGATTTCGTTTTGATTTCCTCTCTTTTTCCCTACCTGCACTTCTCTGATTTTCACAGAAAGAAAAAAGGGAGTGTCCTATGCATTCCTAAGGTGGGAAGGGAGGAAGACTGCTCATTTCTGTCACCTCAAGTAGATCATTTGAACTTGATGTTACATCAGAATCACCTGGAGAACTTGCTGAACAACGCTGATTCAGTAGATCTGGGCTGGACCAGGATCTGCATGTCTAGCAGGCCCCCCTGTGGTGCTGATGTTGCTCTGGGAGTACCACTGCCCTCAAAGAACACATTGGTTTTCCCCTCAGGTGATCCAGTTGATGGCTATAAGGGGAAAGAGTCCAAAATAACACACCATACATGATGAAAGCCAATTTGAGCATAAATATGGACTAAGAATAATGATCTCTGCATGGACAATGGTGATCATTATGTTTAGCTCTCTAGCAACCAGAGTTGAGATGACTTCACCCACAATCTTTTCGGGCATGTTGGCCACGGCTGCCATCCTCACAAGGTTTCCCTGCTTTTCTTGAATCTCCAGATTTCATGAGTGTACAATATGGCCCAAACTCAGATTACCTGTAGTCGATTCTGAATTGTGGCAGCCTGTAGCACATCTGAAACTTTCCTGAAAGGCACCTCTCAGTTATGGAGCAAGATGGACAAATAAGCTAATTATATCAACTAGGTACTCTCTGCTTAATCAGGAATTACTCTATCAAATGCCATTATTAGTATGCCACTTTCTGATGAATGAGAATGGGACAAAACAGTATATAACTCCAAATAATAGCTTGTACAATCCAGTGTGGTTTCCGTGATGGAGTGAGAGAATAAATGTAAAGGTGTTTAATAATGTTCCATATTCAGCTCTATGTAAGATTCCAATAACTTACCCTGTACCATTTCATGATGATCTTCATTATCTTCGCACTAGAGATTGACTCACTTTACTGTCCCTGTGTTACTATACTGATGTGGCAGGTTATTATTTAGTGTATTAATATTATTTGCGAAGTTCTGTTTATTTCTGGAAACAAATCTAGGAGAACTATTTGACTGTCATTTCCAACCTCTGAATAAGATTTGTTATCTCAGATGCATTTCATATAATTTATGCATAATTCAGCAACAAGAAAATATTTCTTTATGCAAATAATAAAGATGTTACAAATGTGTGCAGTCTGCACTAAACTTTTGAAAACAGTTTTGTACCTATTGTCTTGTTTCATCTTCATGACACCCTCTGAGATAAGTATTTTAATCCCAAGATGAGTAAAATGAACTGCAGTCGAGAACTTGAGATAATGCAGATATTTGGTGTCAGGAGTGGAACTAAAACCTGCTTTTCTGGCTCATTGTTCCTTATTCTTCCATCACGATGGTTTCTTTTTCCCACTGAGCCCAGAAACCCACTAAAGGCAGCCATCTGGAAACTTACATGTGGAAGACTTACATTGTCTCTAATCAAGAACTTAGGTAAACTTGCAGTTTCAATCCTTGAATATTTTGAATATGCCACTGGGAAGTGAAATCATAAACATTCTAACAGAATCAAGCAAAAGCTGGGTAATCTTCCACAGTTCATTTTAGTAAGCATGTATTGAGAGTCTGCTCCCTGCTGTGCCAAGCCGTGGGGGACACAGAAATGACTGAAACATGGTTTCTAATTGCTAGACACTTGCATTCTGGGTGGATGGGATGGGTTTGGGGAGGAAGAAGCCCTACCTTATCATCAAGTCATAAATTTACATTCCTATTAATGAAGGTACCTACAAACTGCATTATTCACTTAGTAGAATCAAGTTTTGTTCTTTTTTCGCAGGTTAAGAAGTTAAAAGTTAAAGAATACTACTGACATGATACATGAGGTTAGTACCGTCGTTTTGTCTCTCTACTCTGGGATTCACGATTTGTGCAGAGTGTACACAACTCCATATAATAGTAATGGGAGTCACTCTTGGATATTGGAAAGAGAATTTTTCCC